GCAATGCCTGAGCCATTCAGTCTAACCTTGAAAGCCTTACCATCACCCAGCTCTTTAGGAATCAATTTCCCTTTCTCCATCCTCTTCTTCATCTTACTTGGTGTTTGAATTGGATTCCACCCAAGCCTTTTCCATGTCTTTTTCAAGCCACACTCTTTTTGCTTTGCTGAATTGACTATGTATCGAAGTGGTATATCTCCTATAGTAGAATCTGACAGTTGTTAACTCAAAACATTATTAACCACACCTATTTTTTTACTAAAACAACCATAATTTGTAACAATAACTTCTTGTTCTTTACTGACTTGCTAAGCACCATGGGAAAGTTGATTCCCAATAGATGATTCCCCCTCCAATGGAGAATCAAATTTTAGCTCATTATTTGGAAGGCTAGCTTTCGAGGTTAACAACTTGCTATCCAATAAGATCAACTCTTCAAAAGTTTCTAGTCATAGTAATCATTCTCAACATGTAACCATGTGCCATAAGGATGAGATACCTTCATTTCAGCTTCCTTCAATCGAAAACCAATCCCACAATTAGAAACTACATGTCCCATACATCCACATATGAAACAAAACTCTAGTAGTCTTTCATACTTCATCTAGACCTTGTAAATGTTTGTGGAAGAAATTTTAATAGTCTTGAAATGCCTAAGTGGTTTATTTACCTCAATTTGGATATAAACTCACAAAGCCCAAGTAAAAGAAACATCCACTTCATGAACCTTACCCTGTTTCCTCCCCATGCAATCCATAGGGAAGTCCAAATAGTTGCACCCAAAAAGGAGATGTGGAGAAGTCATAATTGTTTTGTTTGGGACTAAAGATATATATAAAAAATTTCAAAATAAGTAATAAGCGATCAAAATTCCAAGGTGACTTCTGTAGTATCCTGTTGACATCATAACTGTTTGAAAACTGGAATAGGAAAATTTTAGCACCTAGGTCCTTAACTTGCTCAACAGAATTGGTTTTCCATGCTGATGCGATTGCATTCTACAGTCTTGTAAGGTTATCTTTCTTATATGTATCGATTTTTCCTATTAGACAGAGGGATTTGAAGTCAATCAACGAAATATTCCTTGCATTCTCTAGGGATAATTTTGTTTTTTCTTCCTTCGAAAGTTGAATTTGCCCTAAAAGGGACCCAAGCTCATCCACAACCTCGCTAGGAGACTCAGGCCCTAGACTTTGATTACCTATCCTGTCGGACATCCTAGACACCAAGAGTGTGGATTGAAATCCTGAGATTTTGGTACAGAGGCAAAGAAAAAAACAAATGACAGATCTAAAGATTAGGATCTAAAGATTAGGACTTGCAAGGCACTATTTCTGGTTGTTTGTGGCGGAATAAAAGATGATTGCTTGTGATTAAAGCAGGTTTTGGATGAGCAACTTGCCCAAGTGAAGGCTACTTGACGATAGGGAAAAAGATGATCACTGGTCAGAGATCTTCTTAGGTATTGGAGCGAAAGGTGGGCAGTCCACGCTAGTGAAGGTTGTTTGGCCTGTGGGAGGAAGATGGTTACAGACAAAGAGAGAAGAAGGTAGAGGAGGCTCTTGACTAAAGGAGAGAAACCCTAAGAAGAGAGTCTAACCTAACTTGGGTGGGCGCACAACACTATTTTAATAAAAAACAACTTTGTGAACATTGTTTAGAAAAAGGTGCAAAACAATTAAGACATCTTGAAAATTAAAATATCAAGATTAATAATAAAAAAATTAAAATTTTTAATAAATTAATACATAAAAAATTTATTAAGTATATTTAAATAATTTTATAAAAAATTTTAACATTTAAAGTATTATGACATTTTAATTTTAATTTTTTAATTAAAAAATTACGATATCTTAACAATTTAAGTGCCAAGAATGAAAATAAAAAAACTAACACAAAGATGTGCACAGTTACACAAATAGCAACACCGCTCAAACATGCATTTGATTATTTATTATTATATGTTTACATCATCAACTTGAGAAGGGCATGATATTTGCATACATTCTTTATACTGATGCATGCATATATACTGATCAATCTGAATTGCTGTTAATCTATCTGCTAAAAGCCTAGAGATGTATTTACACAACGACCGCGACATACAATATCGTAACAAAATGAAGAAATTATATGATAAGTATGGGTTGTAACTCTCGTGGTAATATGCAGAGATGCAGGAGCTCTCACCCTCAGTCTAGAAAGACTTTGTCATAGGTTAGTCTCCAGCAATGGTTCCAATATAAGCTATCCTGCATAAAAAAAGCAAGCCTTCCATTACCATGAGATACGTGCATGTTTTGAAGTTTGAACAGGATGACAATTAAAGACCACTAAAATACATTAAGTTGAAAAGAACCCTATGAGATGCCATTCAAAAGTATAGCAAATCACTTACCTGCTTTGACAAAAGCAGCTTGTTTGAAAATTAGCATGAAGCATTTATTTCAGCCACAACTTCCCCATTTTCTATTTCAGCATTTGTGAATGTCAGCGCCCGTTGTAGCTTCTTTGGACAAAACACCTCAACCTCAGCCACATATGTGGCAGTAACAGGGCGATGATCAGAAAGTTTCAGCTCTGTCCTCCTGTAACTCACTAGCCTCATTCCCTTACCATGTGAAAGGATCCGGTCACACCTTAAAAATGAAGAAATGAGGTATATTAGCAAAACATCAACAGCTAAATATATGGGTGCTTGCAATTATCTTGTTTGAGATTACCAAGCTGGAGTGCGTTTTCCAGCCTTCGGATCCTCTCCATAGTACTCTTCTGAATTCATCTCATACTTGTATGTTGGTGCAAAATTCAGAGTTCCCTCAGACCATCCATCAAATGCTCGACCTTTCCTCAGCTCTCGTACAAGCTGTCACAATAAGACATTGACATATTAATAGCTACACAATCACCCAACTAACTACACAAAATGAAAGTCCATGTAATGCATGTCATTATAAAGAAATTTCGTATGAAGTGAATTGTTTAAAGAAATATTATATTTAAGTTCTACAGAACATGGCTGCTATGAATCAGCTCACATCATGTGAAGTTGTCAGCTGATATTTCCTCACTTTGTTTCTGTAAGAAGGTTTTAGGAGAAGGCAAGAATTGGAGGTATTGACAAAAAGGATATTTATAGCAGTAAATTCTTCAACAATCCAAGCAGTCTCTGTGAAAGCTTAACTACCTGGTCCCTCTCGATCAACTTGGACCACTCCTTTTTTGAGATGAGCTCACGTGCTTTATCATAAGACAAATTGAGGCGGTAATTTAGATCACCCAACCAAATTTTTCTTCTGCAAGGAGAAGGAACAATAGCACTATCTATTTAATTCTTTTCATATTTAGAAAAGATATATAATTTTTGAAAACCAGGAAACTGAAGTACTAATGTCAAGATAAGTAACTTAGCACACACATGCCTCATCCCTTTATGGTGTCTCTACCAAAATTTATTAAAGAATGAGGAAAATCAGTTAATACACATTTGACAAACTAATGTCTTTTTTACCACTTTATAAAAAGTGTTCCCGCAGCTAAAATGTCATAATTTGAACCATCTTAATTTAGTGAGTTCTACAAGTTTAGGAAAAGGAAACAATATTTATGCAAATTATTAGTATATTCTTATCAACATTTATAACACTTTTCTTTTTAAAAATACTTGAAGTTTAAGGCTAGATGGTAAATGTCATTTTTCTATGTTATTAGATGAAGAAAAAGTGATTAAACTACCATAATATTTGAACATGATACCATGATTTGCGTATACAGAACCAAGTTTTGAAACTAGATTCAAATTACAAGTGTCTGCTAGAATATTCTGGAAATGTTCTCTGGCAATGCAGCTATGAACCCCTCACACCTTGAGGCCCATTGCTATCTCTTGGACCATGACCATATGATATACCTTGAAATATTAATCCATTAATTTTAATGAATTAAATCATGCAGAAATATAACATAATTTGAGCAAAAAGCTGCAGGTGATAGCAGATAAACAAACACCAAATAAATCAGCTAAGTACATATAGTTAGATATTTTTAAACTGCTGAGAAAAGAAAAACAGTTAGATATTTAAACTGAAATATACTCACTCGTGATCGCGTATGCTGTTGGGAAGCTCAATTGCAGAAGGTGAATGAAAATGTGTTCTGCGAAGTATTTCATTCACATCAGCATTTCTTTTAAGTTCATCTCCATCTTTTTCACCTGCTGTCAGGTGAGTGCATATGAAACAAAAAAATGTCTGATAGATGGACATGCTGACTGATATAGCTCCCTGGAAGAATGAAGAATTACCAGACAATTAGAACAAGTTTGACGCAACTCAACAATAACCAGAAATGATACAAGAAAATTCCCCCCTGCAGGGGCGGAATATCACATGAAAGACATGGTAATCCAAAAATCATATTTTTGATTATCCATGAATAGAAGTTATCTTCAAGGTTGTGAAAAATCCTAAACTGAATTAAAGAGACTAAAGGTTTTCCCATCAATCATTGACATGTTACAGATGCAGATATGCTATGTTGCATTTAATAATTGCTATGTTTTTTTGATAAAACAGAAACTAAAAAACAAAGTGGCATTTAAATAGAAAGTACTAATGCATCTTCACAAATCACCAGCTTTAAAATAAGAATTAAGTCTTTCACAAGTCAAGGTTTAAAAGGACAGTTGACTATGAAATTTGAATGTGGAAGAAATAGAAGTACATATCAAAGCACAATTAGGCATTGCAACTTCAAAAAATAGGTTCTTTTTTTCATTTTTGCCTGGTCATAAAAGGTTCAAAATGCCCCCTTCAAGTCTCTCTAAATGCAAATGCTGGCTTCTAAAGGCCATCGCTTATCTACCAAGAGAGTAGGCAAAAGAAATATTCTAACAAACATTCCGGTAATATTGACATAATCTTTAAATATGTTATTCCTGGGATGCCAATGTACTAATAAAAGTCAAACATGCAAGAACATCATTCACCAAAATTTAAATAAAAAATATAGTAAAAGGAACAAACCTTGTTACCAATATAGCCCATAACACCAACTCCAACAGTAGATACTTTTAAATTGTCAATATACCTACGCAAACTCCTACGAACCCATATGGTGAGGAAAATCCCTACCATCTGCTTGCTTACAATTCTTACATATGACGGTCTCCTCTTCCGCTTTAAGAGGGATTCCAGGTCAAGTTCTGCAAGAAAAGCTATCTCTGATGGCATATCATTAATGGACTTAAAAGAACTATATGTTTTGAATGACTTCGTTGTGTTGAAAGATTTGGTTGCTTTAAAGGAATTAGGTCTCTCCAAAACACGCTGTGATAGCAAGTTTAGCGGAGGCTCAGGCCAGATTAAACCAATTCTTTCAGATCCACTCAGCATTTTGGTTAATTTGTGATTCTTTTGGCTGACTGGGCCCTCTTTTTCTTCAGCAAAATCTTCCATCCGCAAGCAATTCAACCTATCTAACCTCTTTGGGGAAGAATATTGCCTCTGTAGATCTGTTTCTACTGGAACATTTGAATTGGTATGACCATGAGACTCAGAAATTCCAACATTGTGGAACATGCTAATATTTTTGGCTAAACCATCCTTGACTTCATAAATACCAGCAGCTTCTTCATCTAATGGATGAATTTCTTCACCTACATCACTATCACTTTCAAGTAACATCTCTTCTTCTATAGTCCGGACATCATCAGATGGCTCAAACTTCGATGGAGATGGGGGATCACTATAGCATTTAACTTTGGTCATTGCAGGTCGAATTTTACTCAGCGTTTCACGAATAATGTCTTCCCACTTTTGAGCTGGGCGGCTATCTTCAGCACCAAAGATATTTCCCGCATTTAATGGTACAATCTCCTGAATACTGTAAATAGAAAGCATATCACATGCTAAAATGGGCACCACTTGGATATGCAATAGAAAAAATAAATTCAAGAATAAATTGCTAAAACAGTAAACATGATACATTGGAACCAACTAATGAAATGTAAACCTTCAAAATCAAGTAGGAGAAATAAACAAAAATCTTTACAAACAAACAGATATGATGACACAAGATGAATCTGAACATGTGTGCTGAAAATGTTGAATTGTTGATGCGTGCAAGATGTGCCATGATGAGAGTAGAACATCAATGTAGGAAGTTCAGAACAAATCAGAAAAGCACTTACCCTATCACATAGATATCAGCTGGCTCATTTATATCTATCCAGTCATCAATATCTAAGTCATCAGGTGGAACTTCTCCGCCAACATTCCATGTACCAACACAAACTCTAGAAATAAAAATGGAAGAAATTGTAAACTTAAAGGGGGAAAAAAAAAAAGAAAAAAAAAAAGGCCTTCAAGGGTGAAGCCTGAGAAAAATGAACTTCCCACAGCTGCTAAATCACTGCAGCCAGTAATTTTAGAGCAGTAAAGGAGAAGCATCATACCTCACTTCCTTTGTGTTTATATATTGTGCCCTAAATGTTTCTGATTTCCGTCTCCTGAACCTTGGAAGACTCTCTGATTTCATAAAGATGAATAAATCAGGTCACACAGACACAGTACTATTAAGGTTATCAATTGCACATTAGCAGAAAACCAAAAGTGAGACGTTTTTCACTTGGCTAATTTCCTACTCTATGAGATGCTTCTGTTTTCAATTAGGCTTCATTTTCTTCTGAGTACTTAGACATTGTTAGCATCAAATTTTCAATCACTGGAAAAAATCAAAAGTGCCCAGCAGAGCTCCAAAATCAACTTTATCACAATTTGGCTGCTTTATCTACCAACCAATTTGAATTCCAAATGCCAATAAAAAAAATTGAATTCCAAATGTTTAGACATTGATAGGATTGAATAACAAGCTTAATTTGCAAAATATGCAACTAAACAACATGCTGCTACCCCTCAGCAAAATGCCACATAAATTGACCACACAATGCAAAAAATCAAAACCACAATAAACTACTTCAAACTTTACCAATAGAGTCAGGTTGAGCTTCATCCTCTTCCTTGCCTCCAAACCGTGATTTTCTTCCCCATTGGCAAACTTCTGCAAACCCAATCTCAAAAGGGTATCCTCAGAAAACCCATAACCACAAACAACTCCACCACACTCATAAACCAACAAAAACTCGAAATTTCTAAAAATCAGAGTTTGTGGAATTTTCAAGTCTCACCTTCCGATTCGGGGTCGGAATCGTTATCCTCTCCGTCGTCGGTGTCGGCGCTGTAATCGGAATCTCTTGGGCTGATGTTGAGCAATTTGCGCATGACAACTCCGGGCCAGAAGAGCTGTAGGCAGGAGCAACCAAAACAGCAGATTTCAGCCCAACTTCTCTGCAATTTCACTCTTAGTTGCGGCAATTAAACAAAAAACTAAAAGACCCAGGGCGAGAAAAGAGAGACTACCTCCGGTTGCCTTGTACTTTGCTTCATGGCTGTGGATGTGCATGAAGTGAGATCAAATAAGAAGAAATAACACAGAAAAGTGAGGAGCTTTGGAGGGAGAAGAAAGACCGTAGTTGTTGCGATTATGGAAGAAGTAGTAACTGCCACTCTGGTCAGATATAACGGTAGTCGGCGGCCGCCGGTTAATTAATTATTGACTTCTATTTATTTTACCATGGAATTGAGAAAATCACCATTTAAAGATTAAAATATATTTAATAAATTAACAAATAATGAATTAAATATGCATAGAAGTATCAACAAAAACTTAATCAAATTAATTGATAGCCGAAATAATTTAAAATTTTTAATTTAATATCAAATCACATGTTTAAACATCTCTATATAGCCTAATAATTATCCCTCCCTGTAAAAATGGAAAAAAAATGCGTGCAGATATATTAACTCATATTTTTAAGTGCAGAATCAACCAATAATATATTTAATTTAAGAAAAAAAAAATAAAGGAAAGTGAATACTTTTACTTATTTTTTATTTTAATTTTTTATTTATTTAAATTTTATCTCCTTTATTTATCTCAAATTAAATATAATGCAAAATAAATACTCTTTAATTTGGGAAATTCTTTTTTACAATACCCTATGCATTTAACAACTTCCATTAGGAATTAAAGAAAAAAAAAACAAAAATACCTTGTCCAAATAAATAAATAAAAAGAGAGAAATATTGCTCATAGGAGCAAGAGGCAAAACAAAAGAGAACAGGATCATGACATTGGGTTAGGTAGCGGCGCAGGGCCCCATACCAGGCAACAAACACGACAGAGTGGCCCACAAAAAGGTTTGTTCCCGTGGGCCCATGGATACGTGGTTTGCAGTGAAAGAGAACCTCCGAGTGGCATCGAATGTCACGAATTGAGGCCACACAATTGGATTATTTTAATTATTATATGAAGGAGGCCCAGCCATTTGTGTTTGGGCTTTGTTGTGGAATCCAATAACAAACCGGCATGCCAATTTCGTTGGCATTAAATTATACATGAACCTTTTGTTTTCTTTGTTCTTTATCATACTTCATTATCATAAAGTTGGCTGGCCAAAAAAGGAAATTATTATAAAGTTGCACTCCTTGGCTTGTAAGACTATTACAAAAAGAAAAGGTAAATAGCTTTTGTTAACCAAATAAATTCAAACAACATGTATTTTTTTATCACTTATCTACATTAACTTTAAAATTATCTAACACGTGAATCAATAGTGAAGAATTATTCCATAAAAAAAACAAATAATGAAGAATTATTTTATTTTTTAAGGGACTCAAAAGTAAATTAAGATTTATAGCATTCTGAATGCACATTTAACTAATGGTTAAATATGCAAATTATCTTTTAAAATTGTTATGTTGAAGTAAATTATCATTTAAAAAATGTTAATGCAATTTGCTATTTTAAATTTTTATTTTCTTGAAATTGTTCTAAAATTAATATTACATTTCATTAAATTATTATTTTTAAAGTCTAATAAAAAGTTAATAGTAATATTATAGTAATATTAAATTTAAACTGATTTCTTGAAAATAAAAATTTTAATAAAATTTTAAGGTGACAAATTATATTAATATTTTTTAAGTAACAATTTACTCAATACGATAATTTTGAAGAGGAATTTTTACTTCATTTACCTAAAATAATTTATAAAACTTATTAATAATTTTTATTCTAAAATTTTAAAAAATTTAAAAGCCAAAACAAAAATTAGAACTTACTATCATACTAAACTCAGTTTTGAAGCTCACCTCTTACAAACCTAAAAACCCAAACATATGAAAGTCCAACATACAATCAATGACGTGGGTTAATTTTATTTTATGTTATTTTTTCTATAAAACAATGAGGTGGTTTTAAAAGGGAGCAAAAATCTATAAAGCTCCTAATTTTGAGAGTCAGAAGAGTAACTATAACGCTGCAGCATAATTTACAATTTAGAGCCATGTGGGATGCTTTAGTGCAGGCACCGAGCCACCGACTTGACACTATAAAGTATAAACAACATTTTTCTTTCAAATAATAATTGGACTGCACAATCAAGAATAATTCTAGTACCTTATATTTCTTAGTGTTAATTTCTTTTCGTCAAATTCATGATTAATTTGGCACCCCATAATTAACTTCTAGCTTAATATTGAACTAATTAGCTATTTTATTTTACTTCTTAAATTTTTTTGGTTTGGATTTTTTTAATGTATAATCCTTTGTCTATGAGTTTTTTTTTTTT